GGAGCCGCAGTTATGGTGACTTGATATCTCAAATACAGGAGAACTAATAAGAGTCAGATAAGAGTTCAAAAGCAACATGAGCAATCAAAAGAATCTGATAACCAAAGAAGTCGTATCAAATGATGATGATGAGAAAGGAGGAGAACTAGGAAACTAATGTTTACTGTTGGATGCACATCTCAATTTTCTTCATAAGAGTCTCATGGTAAAAGAAGAAAAGGCACATTCTATGAGCTAAGCAAATTGACGTTCTTCCATAAAACTATGCTGGAAGGAGATTGCGTTTGTTACAAAATTTAACAATAAATACCATCTCCCGGTGATCTTTTTATTTTGAATATCTCGAGTTGAGAATTCCCCTTGTTGCTTTTTCAATCATTATTTTAGTGCCTCATGATTTCTGTACTTAGTGCATAAGTCCACCTTTCCTAAACGTGGAGGTGAAAGCTTGGCAGAAATGGGAGAGGGCTTAGTCTGTGTCATGGCCCTTAAGACAATATGAACGCATAAACAAAGTCGATTTAGATAATGGGGTAGTTATGTAGAAGGCTGTTCATTGTAGTCTGTTTTATCAACCACACATTGCATTTGTTCATAGCAATAAGGTTTCATGTTCTTATTTCTATTTAATAACTCAATGCAACTTTGTGTTTCCAAGATTTTCTTTTGCAGTTCTCATTTCTCAACTCATTAATTTGTTTCAAAATAATCGATCATAGCTTGTAGCATGCTCTCATTCTCTAAATATAGGCTCTATCCAAACTTTCAGGGGCCGTTTTAAATATATCTCATTGATCATCCGTCCATCACCATCCAAATATTTCTTCTCAGTATCATAAAAAACTTTTAACTGGTTTGACAAAAGCGATGAACTGCAAACTCCAAATCCTTTTCAGACATTCCATATCATTCCAAGTTCAGCTCAAAGATGCTCAAGAACCAAAGTTAAACTGGAAAATCCTAGACTCAACCATAATTGACTTCCAATCAAAAAACAAAGACTTGAAACGTATTATTTATTCCAAAGGATCAACAGAAACACAGAAAGATTCAATCTTTTTGTAGAAGCGAAGTACAACCCAGTAATTAAAAGATTCATTAGAATCAGAAAGAATATTAAACTAAAAGCCAGCAATTTGAACTAATCAGTACTAAAAGATCCAATCTTTTTGTAGAAATAAACTAAAAGGCCAGCAATTAAAGGTTCAATAGAATCAGAAAAACTATTAAACTGAAACCCAGTAATTAAAGATTCAATAGAACCAGAAAGAATGTTCACCAATAAACAAGAATCCCATATTGGGACCGAACAAACTCAAGAAAAATACAATTCTGATTAACAGAAGAGAAAAAAGAAGCAAAATTTTGATACCTGCTGAAGATATTACTGCAAAGGAAGAAATAGGGTTCGAGAATTGAACAAAAAGAGAAATATCATTTTAAGCAAGAAAGTTTATATATATATATAATCCATAAAAAAAAAAAAAAAAAAAAAAAAGTGAGAGTTGGGTTACCGGGATTTGTGCCACAGTATTTTGCCTCGAAAGCCACAACAGCTAAGGAATAAAAAAAGGAAAAGAAATTATTGATATTGACGAGAGAGCTGTGTCTGAACTGTTTCTTCAATCTTTGTAATCTCGGTTAAAATGATAAAGACTAAAATGTGTGAGGCGCTTTGTTGATAATGCTAAGGGCTTGCTTGGTCCTCTCTTTTTTTCTCTAAACTTCACCCCACCAAAAAAAAAAATAAAATTGTTGATTGATTTTTACACATCATCAATAAGCACAATTTAACTTATTATAGAGTAACAAAGTAGTAGTAACTATTATTTTTATTGAATTACTAAAGTAATATGCATACAAAAACATATTCTTATAATTATAAAAAAAATTACTACTAGTACGTAGGGGTGAACAAAAGCCGCTGGGGAATTCACACGAAAGGGAGCGAGGAATTCTCAACGAAAAAAGTGCTCTCTGAATCGAACGTGAAAGTAGTTTTCCATCAGACGGTTTTTCCTGTAACTCTACTCTCGACTTGGATTATATATCCAAAAAGGTCCGAGTCAAACCAAAAAAAAAACCGATTAGTGATTTGGTTTGATTTGGTTTGGTATTTAAAAAAAACCCAACTATAAATGGTTTGGTTTGGTATTAACTAAAAAAAGTCAACCCGCGACTAAACCAACCCGATATTTTATATATATATATATATATATATATATATATATATATATATATATATATATATATAATATTTTTAAAATGATTTTATACATAAACTATTTTATTATAATATAATTAATATAATTTTCTTTTATGGAATAGAGGCTTGTTTGTTATTAATAGCTACTAGTTGTACGCAGTCTTTTAAATAACCAAGACTTAAGTTTACTTCAGACAGTTGTTAATTGTAATTGTCTAGATGATCTTAGAGTATTACTCTATCAACTCTAATGTAGTTATAGTTTTACCATATTCTGTTTTGTATCTAATGTTATTGGAAGGAGTTGGAGTAAAGTAATGAATTTCTCTAGCAATTGTTTACTTGTTGAAGTTATTTTTTAGTAATTAACATTGGATTTAAGTGTTGAAATTGGTGGCAAGCAGAGGCATATCAACTTGATGCCATGGGTTCCTTCTGTCAAGTGATATGGATATGCTTGTGTGTGTGCTAGTTTTAACAGGTATTCTGTCCAGTGGTATGGATATACTTTTGTGTGTTAGC